GTCGGAAACTTCAAAAATCACCCGAACTTCCAATCATTCCAATTTATTTTCGTTAAGTTTTTGTGCTAGGAAAATGTGGGTAAGATAGAGGACATCGATACGAAACTTTTGCAACCAATTTTGCTCGAATCGGACACTGGAACGACGACAAAATCGCCGTTGAAAATTTGCTGCTGCTCGTGTAAAGAGAGAAAGTCACATGCGTAGAGAGAGAGAGAGAGAGGCTGACTAGGTATTTTAAAACCCAACTTTGAAAAATTTACGTTTGTTCTACTGCACTTCCATTGGCCACAACTTCTTCGTTATAACTTCGATTTAAGCCCACTACGTGTCTACGAACTCGTGAGAGCGAGCTCTACGAAATGGTGTCACTCAAAATCCTTCCAGATCGAAAAGTGACTAAAGTAACCCTATCCCGAGGGCAAAATTGTAAATCCACAATTAAATAATCAATTGAAAAGTGATTTTTGGGACGGGTTGTTACATGCGAGCTCTCCAGAAGATTGCCACATGAGAGCTCGTGCCTTTACCTTATGGAAAGAAGACTATGGGATGCATGTTGATCTATACTGTGAAACTCAAAGCAAATGGATCCATTGAAAGATTTAAAGTTAAATTGGTGGCGAAGGGGTACAGACGGAGACATGAGGTGGGCTACCAAGAGACCTTTGCCCCAATAGCCAAGATCGACACTACTAGAGTCCTACTGTCTCCAGCAACCAATCTAGATTGGCCACTACATCAGTTCGATGTTAAGAATGCCTTCTTACATAGAGACTTGGTAGAAGAGATATACATGGATTTACCACAATGATGTAATTTAGCTCCTGAAAAGAAAAATCAAGTTTGCAAGCACATAAAGTCATTCTGTGGGTTAAAACAATCTCCAAATGCATGGTTTGGCAGATTTACTAAGTCCATCAAGAATTTTGGATACACTTAAAGTAATTCAGATGACTCCCTGTTCTTGAAGTGTGATGCAAGAGATATCACTGCATTAATTGTTTATGTGGCTGACATGGTTGTAACTGGGAACGACACAAGAAAGCAACATAAGCTACAAAAGTATTTGTATGAGTAATTTGAGATGAAGGATTTAGGTACTCTTAAAGACTTCCACGGAATTGAACTAGCAAGGTAAGAAACTTGTACATTTTTGTCTCAAAGGAAGTATCTGATGGATCTACACACTAAAACAAGAATGCTTGGATGTAAGCATGCTGACACACCATTGAGATAAATCACAAGAGAAGACATGGACCGGTTGACAACCAAAAAGGCACAATACCAGTGCCTTCTTTTTTGTAAATATGAAATATCTTAGCCTTTTTTAATTGCTTTAATTATTATACATTTAGTGAACAATTAGTATTTAAATTTTTTACTAATTTATAAAATTACTTAATAAATTGTAATTAATTATCTTAAATTATTTTGAGGACTTTGTTTATTTTATTTTTATTTTGTACAAAATTAGTTTATTTAATTTACTATTTTCGAATATTTCAATATGTTTGAATATTTTAATAGTATCGTCGTGCGACTATACTCTTAAAACCCGAATATTTTTAACAGGTATAGCCACGTGGCTATACTATTTAAATATTAATATATTTTAATACTACAGTCGCTGTGCTATACTATTAAAATATTCAAACATATTAAACAAAACAAACTAATTTTGTAGAAAATTAAATAAAAAACAAAGTCCACAAAATAATGTAAAATAATTCATTACAATTTATGAAGTAATTTTTTAAATTAGTAAAATATTTCAGTACTAATTATTCACTAAATACATAAAAATTAAAGTAATTTTAAAATCGTAAGATATTACTTAATTACGAAAAAGAACACCCTTTTATACTCTTGCATACATCGGAATATCTAAATAATATAGCCGCGCGGCTATAGTTAAAAAAATTCGCATAAATAACAAGTATAGCCACTCTTTAAATATTAATTTATTTTAAAAGTATACTCCTTGTCTACAATGGCGCCCGCACGATAATAACTTGCAGACCGTCCGGATAAGAGAATAAATGTGTATATATATATATATATATAAACATACACATTCAGTTTGTCTGATAATCTTCAATTAATATGGTGGAAGGATCAAAATCAAGCTGGCATACTAATCCCAGCTTCAATTGGCCAAGCATGGGAAGAAACAATGCCCTCTTGTTGGCATCGAACTGGTTGTAGGCCAAGAAAGTATACAGAGTAGAAACTGATGCATTATCTAGACAATGATGAATTAGTGAATGTATGCTTTAACACAAGCAATTTATTTGCAAATATTAAATATATTAGAATTTTATAACTCATACCATGTGAAGGTATCTGAGCGAAGAAAAAAGACCGGTACATGCACCACAAAACAATTATAAAAAAAAACAAAGAGCACAACAATTTATCTTTAACCCAACATAGGTAGCACAGGCAAGGGCTTTCGTTAGACATTATAACTCATAATGGTGCGCTTGACATTAGAACATTGAGAGGTAAGAGGGCCTTTGTTTCCATTGTAGGTGAGATCAGCGGATAGCAAGCAAAAACCCATGGATTATAAGAAAAATAAAAAGAGTATGGTAAAAAATAGATGAACTAACCACCACAATGGTGCAAGTGGATTATTAAGCTAAGTAGATGACTTAAAGTTGTTAAGATGTGGCACTTTCTAGTTGGATGATATTAGAAAAAGTATATACATAGATAGATGCGCCAATAGGGTAGGCATGGTCTTTTCCTGTTGATCTTGTTAACTCTATCCAGGTGTGTATGCATGGTTTTGGTCCTCCTTTTTTGGAATATACATATATTGCGGGGTGTGGAGGAGGACAGCAATACTACAAACAGCTTAGCACGTTCTAGATAGAGATTTGGTGATGAATATTCTCAAGGCTAAACAGCTTACTAATTATAGGATATAAAGCTAAACTAGAATGCAACTGTGTATAAAAATAGTTAGTGATTGGTTGGATAGTTTGATGGCGTTGAGCCTTCCCAATCGGACTATAAATTGGCCTCAACTCAAAATGGAGTTGCATCATCCTTCCAAAGGGAAAAAAAAAACAGAGATTAAAATAACAAAGTGGAAGGAAAATCAAGATGGCTATGAAATTAAGTTTCTTGGCAATGCTTTTGTGCTTATTGTTAGCATCTACACCTAAAGCTCATGCTAGTGTGTTTGACGTGACGAGTGCAACATACGGTGCAAAGCCTGGCTCTGATGTCAGTACGGCCTTGGCCAAGGCTTGGATGGTTTTCAGTACATTGACATGCTCACCTTATCAGGTGGTGGGACTTTTGATGGCCAAGGAGCACTTTCTTGGAATCAAAATGACTGCCACAAAAACAAAAATTGCAAACCTATTCCCGTTAATCTGCGGTTCGAATTCCTCACAAATTCCAAAGTTCAGGACATAACTTCACTTAACAGCAAATTTTTCCACATGCATGTTTTCCGATGCAACCATACTACATTTCAACAGCTTACCATCACAGCACCTGACGACAGTAGAAACACAGATGGAATCCATATCGGGGCTTCGACTGGTATCAACATTACTCATGCAAAGATTGGAACTGGGGATGACTGTATTTCTATTGGTGATGACTCCCACGAAATCACAGTGACTGATGTTACTTGTGGGCCTGGCCATGGAATAAGCATTGGAAGCCTGGGAAAATATAAGGACGAAAAGGATGTGACCGGGATCATAGTTAAGAACTGCACCCTGACTAATACGGACAACGGTGTGAGAATCAAAACATTTCCAGATTCTCCTTCGCCTAGCACTGCCTCGGGTATACGCTACGAGGATATTATCATGGTTAACGTCAGTAACCCTATCCTCGTAGACCAATTGTACTGCCCATATACTCAGTGTGAACAAAAGCCTCCGTCAAAAGTTAAGATAAGCAATGTCAGCTTCAAGAACATTAAGGGCTCATCTTTCACTCCACTTGCAGTCAAGCTTGTATGTACCACGGGCATACCGTGTGAGAATGTGGAGTTGACTGACATTGATCTCACCTACGGTGGAGACAAAGGCCCTCTTACCTCTATGTGTTCTAATGTCAAGCCCACAATTACTGGCGTGATAAAGGGTCTTGGTTGTGCTACATCGTCCTTGGCACCTCTTCCTTTATCCAAGAAGTAGAAAGTACTAATTAATGTTCTCAATACATAAATTGCTGTGTTCTACTTTGCTTTTGTGCTACATGTTCTCTCCTTTGTCCAAGATAAATAAA